TTGAAACCTTATCCCTTACAAGAGGTTGTGATTGTTTTCCTAGAAAAACTTATTTTACTGGCCACCATTCGTAATTATTTAATAAAAATACATAGGTAGGCTAGGAAACAGTATTTATACAAAAAATATTAGTTAAAAGTGTGAGGTAGTTAAAAGTGCCCTGCTTTTAAACATAGTAAAATGTACTGTCATTTTTAGAAGGTCATGTATAGAAATATTTCGATCAAATAAAATACGAAATTTAAAAACCCGCGTACCGTAATAGATAATTAATTCTAAATATTGAATTGAGAAATTACCATGTACTCCTTATTTTCTCTTTTCTAGTGACTAATAAAATCTGGGGAACAATACTCGTGCTAAGAGATTGCTTAACACAATATTGACAAATATGCTTTTTATCTTCAGTTAGCCAAAATTGGCACAGTATTGTCATTAACGGGATATCTATGACCACAAAATAATTTTACTTTCGAATGTAAGAGTAATTGTTTTTATTATGAAACTAATTCTAAATTACAAAGTTTATGTTGTAGTGGATGCAAAAGTTCCGATAAGAAAGTTGCATTGTTTAATTTGTAGATACATTAATTAGTTAATTGATCACTTGCCAAGTTACTTAAGATTATGGAATTAAACTTTATTTATGTGTCATTGGCAAATAAAGAACTATTGCCCACTACCCGAATTAATCATATAGGTAAAACCTGCAGAAAACTAATTACAATACTTGCTGAAAAAGATAATCCATCTTCAGAAAATTTAAAGACTGATATACAGAATGTGGTGAAAGATGTATTTACGAATCACGAGCATTGTAAAATATATTACTGTCTTAAGCACGAAAGAGTAAGAATGCAAATAATTTAAAACTTAGATGCGATTACGAATATTTCGTATATTAGGAAATTTTGAATGACATTCTTCCAGCCTTATTAAAGATATGACCAGTAATAGATGTGAGCAATTTATGCATCAAGTTGCAAAATTTATCAAAGGCATACAAACTTATTATGGAAGTAGAAATAGTTTTAATAGAGAGTTATTGCAAATTTCTATAACGTTAGCCACTAATAGTGATAACTCAATTAGAGGTAAATAAATTCCATGCTAAAATAAGACTTATTGCAAACCTGAAATTTTGACATTAGAGTCCTTGTCCTTATACATATTTCTAACCTAAATTTTAAATTACAGTTAATCTTTTTTGTTGTTTATAATAATAGTAGATAATATGGAAGAGGCATTAGAAATTACCATTTTAGAAGGTTTAGATGACGATTATATTAAATATTTAATATTAAAAAACTTCGAACTGATACGAATGTTGGCGAGCGCATCCGAAAACTATAAAGTCGCCACTAACTGCTGTCCTTAAACATACACAATTAGGCATTCCAAACTGAATGGCTACCAGTGGGTTTTGACGGGTTATGATATAGCAAAATTATGGCAACCTTGTAGGCCTGGTGATTTGACAAGGTCAATGAAATAGATAGTTACATAGATTGATCATCCATATTTTTCAAAATAAACATAAGCTTATGCCTTGAAGTAAAAATGTAAGTAATTATTTTTTTTTAATGTCTAAAGGCTAAAAATTAGTTTTAAAACACATTTTTTCTAAGCCGATTCAAATTAATAAATATTTGCCAGGCAATATGGCCGCTCGTAAACGACCAGCTTTGAGCAATCTATATAACTATATATGTATCATTGACCCTGTTAATGACAACATGACAACAGGATTGCCATATCTAAACTGTCATTACCCACTGGTAGCCATTTGGACAGGTCGTTGGAATGCCTAATTAAGGATAGGCACACTCTTTATTAATGTCAGTTCTAGAATGTAAGTGATCTGCGCATGCTCAGATGTCAAAATAAGAGCGGCACTAATAATGACTGACCTTAAGTGAACTTGTAATAACTCTCTAATATAAGATGCAATGTTGCGAGTTTAGCATACCAATTTGGTCCCAGTTGGTTTTTAAAAGCATATCGAAGAAAATTTGTTAAGACTCCATCTAAGACTCTTAAAAGGTTGGTAAATAAAAGTAACAAGAGAAACGCCAGTTTAAAAAAATGTAGAAGGAGACTGCTACAGAAGTTCAAATTTCAAACCTTAAAAAATATTATGGAATACATTGTCAAAAACCTGACCTACACGCAGAAGAAATCAAAAAACTAATAGACCAACAAGTAGGACTATTAGACGTCTCGTTTGTTGAAGCTGACGAAATTGAACAGTCTTCAAGAAGTTAGAGTAATGACCCAAAATGGTTCGAGGAGAGACAATCCCGTCTTATTTTTGGAGACATATGTAAGGCAGGACTATACTTCGGAAAATTGTTTAAAACAGTTATGTATAAAACATTAACATCATTGTTGGGTACTAATTAACAGTGCTGTTCCTAAAGTGGCGCTGGGAAAGAATAACAAAGCCTACACAGAACACGAGGCTAATAACCATAGCAGTTGATGCCGATGACAAAAAAAAATACAGTAGGAATATGGAAAGATCAACGAAAATGTAGCAAGAGAAGCATATACATATTTAATTAGAAATATTGTGACTCCTTGTAGATTATTCGTCTGCACTTATAAAGGATACGCGTTTTTAGAAGCATCACCAGACGGTCTTATTGAAATTAAATGTCCGGGATTATGCACCATTAGAAGCAGCAAGTTTTATTAAACACTTTTGTTGTTACTTAGCTGAAGATGGGTGCAATATGTATTTAAAAAAGAATCACAAATATGTAGAAATAAGCAGATATTAAGTTTCACAGCTAAATAATATACATCAATCATTTATACTTTATATGTTTTATTATATTTTTCATTTTATTTGGTTATTATACCGCTCGGTATTTATATATTGTACATGTATCACTTCAAAGTAATAAACAAGCAATTTTTTTCCAGTGGCGTGACGTACAATTCTAAATATTAACTTTTATCAATTTGCTGATGAATATACTCTCCATAATAACGGATTTATGAATAGACATAATTTTCATTATTACAGAACCGAAAATAAACATGAATTTGGAACTGTAAATCGACGAAACTGATGGTCGTTAAATGTTTATGGTAGAATGATAGGAAAGCAGATTGGTGAGGCCCAATTTTTATGACGGCCATTTAAATAAAAGATTTTTTTTAATTTTTGAAGAAATATTTCCGGAACCTTCATTTGGATATTACACGAAAAATGTGGCTGCAGCTTTTCGTATAATGTCAGGATATATTTAAACCAAAAATTTCCTGAAAAATGGATAGGAAGAAGAGCCCCTCCCCCCTTGGATCACCCGACTAAACACTCCAGATTTTGTCTTAGATTTCTTATCAGGATATGTTAATAATGCAGTTTATCAAGAATGACAAATTTTGAAATATGTTTATTTAATGGTTTTGTTAAAATAAAATTATTAGAGTAGATGTTTGAAATATATTGATTCACTGATTGTGTCGACTGCATCAGGATATTAAAACTTTTGCATGCTACACTCGGTTATAATTCCAGGGAGGACCGTATTTCCAAGTTTCCACAAGCCGCTGGCTTTGGATTAAAAGATCGACGATAGAAAAATAAACACGATTTATTTTCATTAAGAACACGGCACTACATTATTCATTCATCATTTACAATATTTACATATATCTTACACAGAACATTTATAATTTATTTGGACGCCATTGAAGCATTTGGTGAAGACCGATAAACAATGTGTCTTTTATAAATGTTGAGACGAGTCTGGGTGACTACGTGCCGCGGTCCAAAAACCGTTACAGCTCGCGCATTCATTTCGCGCATACATATTACCAACTGTCTTTCTTTTGCTTAATCATTATTATCGATTTTAAATTCGTGCATTTCTATTGGATAATAACCGCGTTAGTTATTTTTATTTTATTGGATTTTCCAACCTTGCCCTGAATTGATTCGTAAGTAAATTCAACAAAAGAGGCCTTGAATCATTTCCCAATTCTGAAACTTATGTTGAAGGTATTTTTAACAATGGGTATAGAACTTTTAACGTAAATAAAATTTCCTTCACATTGGTACCATAAAATTCAGGGTGCAGTAATTAAATAAAACATTTTACTGTAATAAAACTTCAAATTGTAAATACCCCGTACATTTTTGAATATTTTAATGATTCTGATAAAAAGTTACAATATTTTGTAAGGAACTGTTAATTAATTATTTTGTAATCAAGCGTAATTAATTAATTTCGACAGCAGTATATTTTCAATATTGTCAAATAAATCAGTAAATATCAAAGATGGAATTAGGAAATCTTTGTTAAATTAAGATTAGTTTTAATTAAATTAAAAAAAAAAAATATAGGGTGTCTTATTTAAAAAAATATAACTTTATATTGGTATTCTGGTTTGGGACACCCTGTATATATAAAACTAATTTTAATTTGTAGCCGCCGTTGAGTTGTATATTTGTGTCAATGGAATTTTTGATATCGTTTGTAGTTTACCCACCAGGCTCTGTTGAGCGTGGCGCACCTTGTATATATATTCTTCTTGTGTCTTATTTATTGAACCTCATTTAATTTAATTTTTACGCTTGAACTTGCTTTATATCTAAAAAGATCAATAAAGTACTAATAACCTCACCCACCATCATCGGAATGATAACGTATGGCGATTTCTAATCTGGATGCCATATCAACAGAAATTAAATTACTGCTAATATGGCACACATCAAATCCTATAACGAACCATGCAAATTAATTAAAAATTCTCATGAACTGCTGGATTCCAAGCCGCTTTGTCTCTCAATTACAACATTGCCTATAAGCGCTTGAGACAACTACTGCAGTGAGAAAGTAATAAAAATTATACGCCAAAATAATATTACAATTTTAAATTTCAAGAATAAAAACAATCAATTATTTTAAATGGACAAAATTAATTTACCGGAAGACTAATAAATATGAAATTAATCCACAATCCAGACACCTGTCACTTTCGACGCCGCCGACGACAACGTATCGGCGGTAACACATTCGCGGTTCGTGGGTATGACCCGGAGCCCCCTAATGTTATAAAGTAGGTTCTTCGGCATGCCGAAGTTAAACCATGTCCTCCTGCACGCTACATTAGAATAGTTTGTACAATGAACGAACACATTTTGATACGAGGTGTGCAGTGCTCGAGGTCAATTTCCTAATTGTTACCTACGGTGATAATGTGCGCCGGATGAGTGGTCTTTAATTAAGATTTGTTAATTGTTTGTTACAGTGATATTAATTCGTTTAATACGGGATGAGAATGAATATTCAGTTTAAAATTGTGAGTATTTTTTTTTTACTTTCTACTAGTGTTTAATAAGATGAATAAAATTAGCGGTATCTATTTAATAGTCGAAACTTTCCAATTATAAATATACTGCTGTTTAAATTTATCGCACCACTCAGATATCTAGACAAGAATTTTTAGTGTATATATGTCAATCGTTATTTCTTCATAAATATTCTTGTTCCATTAGAGAATAGGATTTTCCTCCAGTCATAGATGGTTCAATTTAAATATAATTATAACGTCTTTGTTATTTCTATTAAAAATCCAAATATCAATAATAAGTAGATATTAAAATTTAACAAAAATTAAAAATGATCCTGTGTAAATCCTTTGATAATTTACAGAGCATGTTTATTTATTGTAATAAAGAATAAAAAATAAGACGAACGTAGAGACACTTTATGCATTACAAAATTTAGTGATTATCTATAAAACAATTGATGAGAAACAAAATGAATCGTAAATAGTAGGTATCCACAAAATGTTTTTAAATATAATGGTCTAGAAAGAATTTGGTAAAAATATTAATATGGATGACTTAGTTTGATAATTACTTAATGTGCTTTATATTTATTTTATTCTTAAGTCTACAATAAAATTAAAAAAAAAACGGCAAGATTTAAAAAATTCGTTGATCAGAAAATACTAAAAAATCTTTTACATAGTGTATCTTGGGATGATCTAGTGGCTACTAGGGAAGTCGATTCTGTAATAAATACATTTGTTAGTTTATTATGTAATTTGGTAAAAGAGCACAAAAGAAATAAAATTAAGAAGAAAAACACATAAAATCTGTCCCTGGATCACAAACCAGCTGCTAAAAAAGATAAATAAGAAGAATGTACTTTTTCAACAAACATTAAAAAACCCAAATAACCTAGAAATTAAACAATAATATAAAACATATAAAAACAAAGTAACTATTTCTATAAAAACTGTGAAAAATAACTATTATAAATGCCTAATTAATAAAAATATTTATAACAACTCCTGTAACCCCAACAACTTTGGAAAGTAATAAATGAAATTAACCCCAATAGAAAAACGAAAAAATATATAAATTCAATAAAAAACTCGAAAGGGGAAACAATAAATACAAAGAAATTGCAAATATTTTTAATAAAACCTATATAAATGTTGAAAAAGAACTGGCTGAAAATATTAAGCCAAATCCAACCTATTGAACACCCCGTAATATTCTCTCCAATTCTTTCGTTCTATTTCCAACTTCCGAACGAGAAATTGAAACTATTTTTAACGAGTTAAAATCTAATAAAAGTCCTGGTATCGACAATATTAAGGCCTAAATATTAAAAAATATATCTAAATTTATTTTAACACCACTAAATCATTTGATAAAGCTGACTTTTGATACTGGTGTATGGCCTAATATATTTAAACAGTAAATTGTTGTCCCCATATATAAAAAAGGAGATCACACAGTGGTAACAAATTATAGACCAATTTCATTAATAACACATTTGTCAGAGATTTTTGAAAAAGCTCTTAAAAACAGATTAGTAAATTTTACATCAAAATATTGTATAATATCTGATAAACAATATGGTTCTAAAAAACATGTCTCTACGGAAGATGCTATTTCTACACTATCTACCAAAATACTAACTGCTCTAGATGAAAGCAGTCCATGTCTCTTTGTATATCTAGACCTCTCTAAAGCATTTGATACTGTCAGCCACCGTTTACTTTTGGATACCTCATAAGAAGCAGGTATAAGGGACACATCACTCAAATTATTTGAAAGTTACCTTACAAACCGACAACAAGTTACAAGAGTAAATGGTGTTTACAGTGATATAGAATCCATAACTTACGGTATCCCACAAGGTACAGTACTCGGTCTTATTCTATTTATTCTTTACATCAACGGATTATTTTCTATCGAGAGTTCAGGTGAAGTTTTGGGATTCGCGAAAGACACTTCAATATTTTATAAAGTTAACTCATGGATAAAACAAAAGTATAAAGTTGAACAGGACCTTCCAAATCTGAAAAGCTAGTTTGACATTAAATGTAGATAAAACCCACTACTTACCATTCAGTAATAATATTATAACAAGACCTCCATTTGACCAATTGACTTTTACTGCTCATGGGCAAACACCATTCTCCCTGAAAAGAAGATAAAATATCTAGGGGTTTACATGGATTCATATATCAAATGGAGAGAAAACATAACTTTTATATGCCAAAAATTAAGAATGATAATATATCAATTTAAAAATATAAAAGATTATCTACAACCACATCAACTTAAAATCTTGTATCATAGTTTAATAGAAAGTCATTTGAGATATGCCATCATTGTGTGGGTTTGTACTTTACAAACACATTTACAACCACTTGAAGTTTTGCAAAAAATATTTTTAAAAATATTGCTCAAAATGCCCTATAGGTATCCTTCAAACTCATTGTTTGTTGAGGCAAATGTTATGAATCTAAAACAAATTTTTTATTATAATATTATAAATATCATTCATATAAACAACGATTTAACCAGATCATCCATATAGCACAAGAAAAATTTAGTTGGGTTAAGTGGGAGATTATTATTTTTGCACCACGTGGCTAAATATAGCAGATTTTGCTGGAGATTCAAACAGTCGGTCATTGTATTTATTTCACAGAATAGCTTCATGTCATCTGCATATAGTAGATATTTGGTATTAAATTTTTCTGCAATATCGTTTATAAAAATTATGAACAGTAATGGCCCTAATACGGAGCCTTGTGGTACACCTGACGTTTGATGGAAGATGTGAGATTTGTGGCCCAATATTTGAACACATTGAGTTCTTTCAGAAAGGTAAGAATAAAATAGAGCAACTAGAGAATCGCTCAGTCCAAGGGAATTAAGCTTATTTAATAGTAATCCATGATCTAATTTATCGAAGGCTTTATCGTTTTGCAGAATAAATTGGAAACTGTTGATCGTCCAGTTATGAAACCATGTTGTTCTGGGATAATAAGTAGATTGACATGATGTGATAAATAGTCGTGAATTACAATTTCAAATAGCTTAGCAAAGTTAGACAATATGGCTATCAGCCGATAGTTAGCGATATCATTTTTATTTCCTTTTTTAAACACGGGACAGATTTTGGATAATTTCCAGGGACTAGGAAACTTTTTAGATTCAAGCATCAAATTCAAAATCACAGATAAGGGTTTACAAAATGAAGATGCACAATATTTTACTAAGAAAGCTGGAATTAAGTCTGGACCATTGGTCATCTTAGGTTTTATTTTTTTGCGGCGATCTCTATTTCTTTTTCTGTTAATTTTTTTATATACAGGGTGAGTCATAAGGAACCTAACAGACTTCTACCATATGTAGAGTCCCTTAAGGGGTATATCATATGAGCATTAAAAAGTGGCAACTCCCCTTCGTTATTAATAGACCGGGTGTTTTGTGAATTTTGACAAAACTTTATATGGCCGTAAAATCTACAAGGATTACTAGATTTCTTTAATTTTTTGGTGGAGCATTACACTGGTGTCTAGCATTTAATTCATATCATCAAAAGTTAAAAATTCCAGGATTGGCTTAGGAAAAATTAATCTCGACGATTCATATCAAAAAGTTCACCCTGTATAAGATTTTTTTAAATTATAATAAGATATTTTTAAAGTACATAGACAATCAAAACTGTGTATGTGACATTTTTGTCACCTTTTTTTTATTAAGGTTCGATTTTGGGTAAAACTGAAAAATCACCTTAAGGGGTCACATAAATTATGTTATAACATAAAGAAAACATTGTTAATTGTATGCATTTGAACTAAACGAGCCAAACATAAGCCTTTAGTGAGCTTACTAGATCGTTAAATTCATTTTCGACAATTTCCAGATCCGGATTAGTTCATTTTTAAATTTTAAATTGAAATCGGCCTATTTTTGTAGACTATAGAAACTACTCAACTAAATTAAACATGTCAATAATCAATAAATAAATTGTAGCGAATAACAATAACGAACAATAAATTCACACTTATTAATTAATAATTATAAATGCTATTTATTAACCTCTAATAAAAACTGCACATTTTATTCTTGCAACTAAGATATTATGTGGTTTTATTTTTATTATAAATACATAGTAGTATGTATCAAGGTAGGTTGTGATAGTTTGACGTTTGTTTGTTCTTATTTATTTGTCATTTGCAACCATTATTTATACGTGTAAAATAATATTTCGCTTTGTTTTATCTATTTTACAATAGTGTTAGAATTTTTGTTGTTGGTGTTGTTATTCAAAATGCCCCATAAGTTTTCAAATGCAGAATATGCAGATATTTTTATGTACGGATTCTGTAATGGGAATGGCAGAGCTGCAGCAAGAGAATATCATAGAAGATTTCCTGGTCGTCGAGTTCCCTGTCATTCAACATTTGCATCAGTTTTTAATTATTTGCGAGAACATGGCACATTCCCTAAAGCAAATACAGAACGAAATGTAGATCATGAGCAGGAAGATAATATTCTTGATGCTGTTATTGCGAACCCCACAATAAGCACCAGGAAAGTAAGTTGATAACTTTATGTTACCCAATCAAAAGTGACTAGAGTCTTACGAAAAAATAATTTACACCCATATCATATTCAATTAGTTCAGCGGCTACACCCTGGAGATGAAATCCATAGGTTGGAATTTTGTAGGTGGATTGCAAATCATAGACCAGTACTATATAGAACATTGTTTACAGATGAATCACAGTTTACAGGGGATGGGATAAATAATTTCCGTAATTTACATGTGTGGGCAGTAGACAATCCCCATGCTGTTCGAGAGTTTCGGTCTCAGTTAAGGCTTTCCGTGAACGTGTGGATTGGTGTGATAAATAACCAATTTATAGGACCTCACTTTTTTGATGGTCCTTTAAGAGGACAAGTTTACTTAGACTTTTTGCAAAATACTTTGCCTAATTTACTTGCCAACGTAGGTATCCGAGGGATGTATTTCCAACAT